AAGGGGGATTGCAAACTGAATGAGAAAAAATTGACTGGGAATTTGAAAGAGTGGTTTGAAGAATACAAACAGCCATGAAACCAGTGTAGCTTGTTCTTCACTAGAAGTTTTTGGCCCACATCCTGCAAACACGTGTGTTACTTTGCTCACATGATTAGTCCTATTGACTTCAATGGGACCAGTCATATGGGTGACACGGCTCCTGTATGCAAAGTTTAGTGCTAAAATCTTTAGGTTGTGACATCTTAATCACAGCTACAGTAACAAACTTTGAAGTCATATTCCTGTTGGCCTACCACTACTAAATGTTTAGCTCTCAAAGTACATGGATGGTGCTCACCTTTCAGGGTAGGAGGAAATGATCTCTCCTTTCACTGAACAAACTAATTAGACTTAATTTGTTATGTCTTCTGTTATCACAGTTGCAGAGGCAGCTACTTATTTTTTTAAGATAACCTATTGAAATTTTTGAAAAACATTCTCCTTCAAGACCATTCTCCCCATCTCTCTTCCCCTGTTATGCTTACTGAAAACATTTGTTTTTTATATAAATGTCCTCAGTAAGAAAAACAAGGGAAGAGACTTAGGCAGAATAGTCTTTAAGCAGAATGAATGGTACTTCAACTTCCTATCAGGTATCATCAATTCTTTAAGAAAAATGCAGCTGAATCTGCAGACATGGCTGCTAAAGATGCAGATGGACACCTAGTGGGATTTTTAAAAGCGCATAGCTCCCACTGAAATCACTTTTAGGCTTTTAAATACCTATAAATATCTATAAAGATCTGGCCTGTAATTCTTTGTTTGTCACAATTTTTTCCATAGGGATTAACATGATGTTACTAATGAGGGAATCTGGGCCAGATTCACCTCTCGTACTGGTATAAAAATCAGGAGCAATGCCACTGAATCACTTATTGTGAATATTATTCTAAGCAATCAAAACCCTGTTTCCACACAAAACTCCATAGTAAATTAAAAATATGGTAAGACATGAACAGAAAATATGAGCAAAATAAATGGTCTTTCAGCTGGAATTTTCCCCATAAGGCATCACCAGGTCTTTATGGAAAATACTTCTGAATTTGCACCATGGCTGCTGGAAGAGAATAACGTAAGGCTCCTAATTAAGTCATTCTGTGCAAGAATTGTTATAATTTCATACCATTTTGGAATGTAGGGTAACATCCCCCTCAAGTAAAATGAAGTACTTTGGGTAGAAAACCCCAGTAACTATAAGCTAATGAGGAACAGACAAAGAAAAATGCCAAATGCTGTAAAGCCCAGATACTTAAGATAATGACTGAAATTTATGACTGCTTCCTTCCCTGGCAGACAGGAGTACAATTAGAATTCTCAAAACAACAGTTTCTTTGTGCTGGCAAGCTATGTCATGTTTATACTACTACAGATATGCTAGAAGATAAAAAATTAATAGTACAGCACCCTTTCTAACTCAAGGTAATAGTCAAACTTGTTATGAGGTTCTGAGTATGGGTTTGCACTTATTTTACTCCTAAACTGAAGTTATTTAGGTAATTACGATTGCAATGGACAGGAATTAACCATTAAAGCAACTTGCAATGTACAGAGGCCTCGGTTTTCACAATCACACAGAACAAGAACAAGCAATCTATTATGGGCCCCTTTATCATTTCTTTTGCTGTGCACATATAGCCTGAAATTTAAATAACTGAAAACTATTTCTTTAAAAAAATATTAATGTCCTTTGCTTGACAAACCCTTGAATGAAAAGTGTCAAGAAATAAACATGGCCTTTCTTTCATCATTTACTTGTATCAGGGTTATGGATCACTTGGTGTTGACAACCATTAGATAGAATAAGCATAAGGAATTATTAGCACAAATTTTCTCATCTCCCTCACAAAGAGGGCACGATTACAGCTATATTTTGAATACACCAAACATAACCCAAATAAGCACAGATGGTTTTGCAACAGACTAGCCCAAGGGAATCTTTTCTCTACAGAAGGAATATATGGCATTGGAGGCTCTGACTTCCCCAAGGATATTATCAGGTCCACAAGAGCATCATACGGCTTTCATCTATAGCCTTCCTTCCTTTTGGGCTACCCCTCTCTCCTTTCCTTCCTCCATTTTATATAGTGCATCCTTTCCCCTCCAGCAGTGGTTTTCAACCTTTTTTCATTTGCGGACCCCTAAAAAATGTTGAATGGAGGTGTGGACCCCTTTGGAAATTCAACCTGTGGTCCGCAGACCCCTAACATATAAGTCTGAAAACTGACTGAACAGAATTCAACTATAAATGTTCCACACGCTTGGCACGGCATTTGACGCAGCGTGAGAAAGAGTGCTAAACTGTGGGCTTCTATGGTAACAACAACACTTCTGGGTTTTGACCTGTAGGTGGGGGTATTCACATACTTTTGATTGATCAGAAAAACGGAATGCCTTTTCTGGGATCTGAAACTTAATTTTCATAGTCACCTTTCGCAGATCCCTTCGACGTAGTCTGTGGACCCAAGGGGTGGATCCACAGGTTGAAAACTACTGCCCTACAGTACCAATGATCATTGTTCTTGTCATACAGCTAAGCATGACTGTAGTCTCATCTATGGATACAGTGATGATCCAACATCACCCTGTTGCAAGCTGCAAATACCACCTTTTGGAAACCAAGAGCAACTCCTACCAACTCTTTTAGCTTTATATGGTCTAAAGCAGGGATGGGCAACTGGCAGCCCCGAGGCCACATCTGGCCCTCCAGATCATTTTATTTGATACTGTAGTGAGAGCCAATGGGCTGAAGAGGGGAGCTGGGCCCAGCCCCACGAGACAGGAGATGCTGCTTTGGGGTAAGTGCAGAACAGGCTCACTCTCCAAATCTCTCAAGGCCTCATCCCCTGAGTGTCACACCCTCGGCCTGCCAAAGAAGTTTCAGTGGACTTTGCAGCCCGCCTCTACCTTAAAGTTGCCCATCCTGGTCTAAGTAGTAAATGTAATGTCATCACTCCTGAATCTGAGTCAATTATGTGGCGCTATCCACAAGATGTCAAGAATTATTTTCTAGCAGGCACCCCACAACGGGCAACAGGACGCACCAGGGCTATCATCAAAGTAAATAATCAGTAACAAGTTCAAGAAAACCACGCCTCCAAAGAGATGACATTTATTTGACAGAACAAATAGAAATAATTTAATTCTTAAACTTTACTTCCCATTTTTAAAAAATATATTTATAAAACAGAGAGCATATCTATACCATGAGCTATATAATATTACATGCAAGCTAAATTTCTCTCTCTTGTCCTCCCCCAGACAATGAGGTCAAAATTAAACAAACATTCTCTCCCTTTTTCACACATAAACTGTAAATATAAATATACATGAATAAGATATTCATTCAGCAAAATACAGAACAAAATGCAAGATTCACTACTTAACTAAGCTTTCCTACGGTAAATTAAAAAAATGAAATAAAAATTAAAAATCTATATGGGGTAGGGAGATGAATTTGAGGAGCAGAATCTTCTGAGGCTGTCCGGAGGCTGGTTGAGAGCTATTCTAACTCACACCTGACACCTGGCCAACAACAGCCCCTATGGGTCTCACTGGCTGGTGGGGATTGCTGGAGCACTACAGCAACCTGGATACCTGCTGCTCCAGGCCACGCCCCTTTATATCTATCCTTATGTGCTCTGTCTTTATATTGGTCTACAAGCATCTAAGACATAGTCGTCACTATACAAATAGCAGCAGCATTTGATCTTCTGCTGTTTGCAAATATTGCCTCTTTACTGATGTAAGCAGACTTTAGAAAATGTAAAGGTAAAAGACGGATTTGAATTGCTAGGTATTCCCTTGTTTGTTCTACAGCTAAACACTTCATATAGTTACATCATTTGAAATTATATTGTAGATATAATCAAAATAATTAATTTTTAAATATCCATGAAGTCCATAAATACTAGCTTATATCTGTTTTCGCAGTTTGCCCTTATTCTGTTTTCAGGATTAGTAGTTTTGGCCAGATAAACACAAATCACATAAAACTTATGAGTCAGTTTTCTAATATACCCTTGTTTTGCTGAGATATAATGGGAAAAACATTACCAGAAGAAAACACCTAAAATGACAGAAGCCTCGAAATATAGAAATGAATGGGAAAGAGAAATGAACTTTAATTTGGATAATGGGGAAAAACTCAGAGGCAAATGCTCAATGAGCTTATATTTCCCTTCCCCATGCCTTATTAAAGTGGAAGATCATAACAAGAGATGCAAATAAACTGTCACCACATGAAGCAAAATTATGTCTATAACATCAGTTCAGTGAGAATAGTGCAGCAAGCTAGTACTGATGGGAAGCTGGCATTGTTAGCTACTAGATAAAAGGAGTCCAGCTGCTGCTATTTACACTAACTCCACCAGTTCAAGCAAGAACAAATAAAGGTTTGTTATCATTTGGTCTAATAGCCTACAAAATATATAAGGAAGCTTTCAATTTTCAAACCATTACAGGCTGACCACACCAGAGGAGTATCCTTCAATGTCTAAAAGGGGAGCAGCTGGTTCACGACTAAGGGGGAGTACTTTGCCCATGCCATCTGAGGAATAGCACAGATGACAATGCAGATGTGGCCATGAAGGGTATGTCTACACAGCCCACAGAAGCGCCCCCACCCAACCTGGACTGACAGACTCTAGAGCTTTAAAAATAGCTGTCTAGACAGTGCTTTGAAGTTGTGGCTTGGGCTGGAGCCTGGGCTGTGAAGGCTAGGGAACCTCAAAGCACTGACTGTACAGCTGTTTTCAGAGAGCTATGGTGAGCCCCACTAGCCCAAGTCTGTTGAACCAGGCTGGGAGGCTCTCTTCCAAGGGCTGCGCAGATATACCCCAACTTACCCTGTCTGATTGGTAGAGAGACCAAGGTGCAGGATACAAGAGTGAAATGATGCAGCAAAATAAGAAAGTTATACACAGAAAAACAAAATAATTATATTAGAGAAGTTTCTATACCTGGCCATTCCCAGACTGGAAAAGTTGGAAGGGACTATCAACACATCAAGCCTGGAAAAGGGGTGGGTACCAAGTGTAGCATGAGCAGCTGAGAGGCACTGAGGAATCAGCTCAAGAAGGATCTCTGCACAGCGATCCTTAAGGCACCATGGAGCAAAGACTCGATGAGGAATGACTAGCTGAGAACTGGCAGCAGGATTTTGGAAACGGCAAGGATACGCCACATGACCACAGCTCCCTTCAATCAACCTGAGAACAGCACAAAATACAATGGTTTAGTTTGACATTACAAATACGTGTAGTTAAATATGTATGCAGGAGGTGAGGAACTTCTGCAGACATCAAGGAGATAAAGCTACAAATGGGTCACATGCAAAGTTGGCTCCTTTGTATTCTCACACTGTTCATGTCAATGCAGCAGTGAAAAACCGAAGACTAAATTATTATTGATATGCTTGGGTAGAACTGACTTGGCCACTCCAATCTAAAATAAATGAAAGTGGTAACATCTTGTTTTACTGACAGACAGACATCAAAAGAACACGCGTTCAAAATGCAGTCACTATTCAAGACAAAACTATGTGTATGTTTGTGTCTCAGAAAACTAAATGGACAAGAAAAAACGATACAGCTCAAACTAAAGGAAAGATTCAGAGAGTTCCTAAGTTAAATATTTGTGAAACACTTAAATATTTAACCAAGTTACAAAGACAGGATTTACTTTTGTCAAAGAAAACAGAGATATGATTTATATTAAAATCAAAGTTAAATTTTTTAATTTAAAAATTCTTCAGCAAACTGTAAAAAATTGTTCCTATTACACAAAATAGCAGATTTCAATTCAGTCATAGCACTGCAAACATTTGAAGGAATTATATCATGACCAAATCTGCACCTGCATTACCTCTGAAAGGTGCTTTCCCTCAAAGGTGGGGTTAGGGAGAAAAACTACATTTCCTAAACACTGAGTCAGACATTTTTAAGAGGAATTATCAATCCAAACAAATTCACATCAAAGAGAAATCAACTTCATATTTTTTTACCTGATAATTCCTATTCTGTACAACACAAACCCTCTCTTTGGTTTCAAGTTGCAACTTCGGGGGCTGATTTATTGTAAGAACTAGGACCAGTAGTATTTGCAGGATCAGGCTCCAAACTAGTACTTTTCTATAGGCTATGATTACTTTTGCTGAATTGATGGCATATAGCTAGCTGAGTTAATAACAATGAAATAACACCACCTTACCTTTACATAAGGCCTTTTACCTGAAAGAAATGGACCTTAAACCATTTCAAAGATTATCTACACAAAGAAACCTCACCCACCACTGAAAGAGAGACATCTCTAGTGCAGAATGCAATACACATTAATCAGTGCAAGCAAAGTTATATAACATTTTTTAAAGGGGGATACAGAATGACATTCTTTTAAATCTACTTGGTTAATTTACCAAGGTCAGAGCACAATTAATAAAGTTGAAATTTGGCAAGGTTTTCTTCTTAGGAGGTTTGATTTTAAGATATATTGGATGTATTTTACATTTCAGATATGTGGGTACAATTTTAATATATAATGTGTCTAGAGCTTGAAATACAATGTGCCCAGGTAGCAAAATTAGAATAGGTAAATCCCATTTTAAAATTCACTTCTTTAAGGAATCCTTCCTTACGGTTCTTCTCACCAAAAATCTCTGCTCATTGTTTAGTACCTGACTTACTGTCCCATGATTTATGTTTCTCTTGTCTACCTTTGGCGCTCCTCTCTGGAAACTATTGTTACTACACAGAGGGCTGGCCAGTGAACACAGTCTCCCTTCAGGCAGTGTCCTTGTGTCTTTCTATCATTTGCAAAGCAAATAATAAATACATACATACAACTCCTTCAACTGCAGGTATCTGAACTGGAACTTACACTTGTATCCAGTTATTTTTGAGATACTCACTTTATGCCACCTACAAACAAAATACCTTAAAATAACATCACTTTAATATTTTTTTCTATCAAACTTTATAAAGCTTTTTGAAATGGTGGAGCAATAAGTGGAAAGAAAAGTTATGAACAGTTTTAGTTTTCACATCAAGAAGCAGCAAATTAATACCTCCAGAAGGGGCTAATGACTTGGATGAGAAGGAAATAGATTATAAAGTTGCTTGTAAATAACAGGAGCCATATTTATGCCTCTTTTCCCCTTTTTTATTGAGAACCAGTGTAATTGACTAAATAGCCAGCTGATGTTCCATTACATATAGGGACAGCATTATCATAATTATTATTTGTGTCTGATAGCTCCCGCTATGTGCTAGGTGCTGTACAAACACAAAAAAGGCAAGTGATACAGACGGTAGGGAAAAGGTATACAACATGCAAGTCAGGAGGTGGTTGGCTACATCCTGATAATATACGTTTTAATAAAGTAACTGGATTTATTTTTCATAAGATATATAGACTACCCCTAAATGCCCCATAACTAGCCAGTCAGTTTCTTGTTTCACAGTAAAAGTGGGGATTCTAGGAGGAAACCAAGTGCAAAAAGGGATAGTTACACTGTGGGCTAGTTCAAGGAGGACAGAGTGGCAAGAAGATAGCTGTGAGAGAAGCAGACAGCATATCAAGGGTGGTGGGGTGGGGGGGGGTCACTGGTGGAGCAGTGGGGACATAGGATAAATCTAATATTATTCTCAGCAATGTCAAATGTATCATGTGAGGAATGAGACACTGTTTGGAGGTACACATAACATTCATAGAATCATAGAACTGGAAGGGACCTTGAGGGGTCATCTAGTCCAGTCCCCTGCATTTGTGGAAGGACTAAGTATTATCTAGACCAGGGGTAGGCAACCTATGGCACGCGTGCCAAAGGTGGCCCGTGAGCTGATTTTCAGTGGCACTCACACTGCCCAGGTCCTGGCCAGCGGTCCGGAGGGATCTGCATTTTAATTTAATTTTAAAAGAAGCTTCTTAAACATTGAAAAAATCTTATTTACTTTACATACAACAATAGTTTAGTTATATATTATAGACTTATAGAAAGAGACCTTCTAAAAACATTAAAATATATTTCTGACACACGAAACCTTAAATTAGAGTGAATAAATGAAGACTCGGCACACCACTTCTGAAAGGTTGCTGACCCCTGATCTAGACCATTCCTGACAAGTGTTTGTCTAACCTGCTCTTAAAAATCTCCAATGATGGAAATTCCCCAATCTCTTTAGGCAATTTATTCCACCCTGACAGTTAGGAAGTTTTTACTTATGTCCAACCTAAATTTCCCTTGCTGGAATTTAAGCCCATTGCTTCTTGTCCTATCCTCAGAGGTTAAGAACAACAATTTTTCTCCCTCCTCCTTGTAACAACCTTTTATGTATTTGAAAACTGTTATCATGTCCCCTCTCAGTCTTCTCTTTTCCAGACTAAACAAACCCAATTTTTTCAATCTTCCTCATAGGTCATGTTTTCTAGACCTTTAATCAGTTTTGTCGCTCTTCTCTGGACTCTCTCCAATTTGTCCACATCCTTCCTGAAATGTGGTGCCCAGAACTGGACATTCTCATCAGAAAAGCTTGATTTTATAAAGAAGATAAAACATAGGCCCCAGAAGATTTTTCATTAGTGAAGAAACTTCTCTATCACTCATATACAGTTTGCTTGTTTCTAGATTGCTGTGATTCAGCCTCCAACTGACAGAACAAACACTGAACTCCCATGGGGGAAGAGGAAAAAAAAATCAAACTGCAAATGGAAAAAACTTGCTCTTGCAGACTATTGCACACAAAACTCTTTACTGAGAAGAAAATCTTCATGTAGTCCTTAAAGCATCTAGAGTCCTCTGATCTATTCCTTCCTTTACCACTAACTATGTGACCTTGGGCACATAACTTAAATTCTCTGTGCCTCAGTCTACCCATCTGTAAAATGGGGATAGTAATGTTTACCTATCACACTGGGCTGTCTCTAATGCTATGAAATCCCTGGATCAAAAAGGAAAAACAAACAAACAAAATCATCATATTTAAAGGTACTTGAATAACTGTATGTTTTTCTTTGTCACAACAACTAATAACGTATTTTATGGCCGCAAATCAGCAACAGTTACAGATCCTAAAGCATTATATATTAAAACAGAATATACAATGTAATATAATTACAGCATATGCATTTCTGTAGAGGCAATATACAACATATCATATTACAAATAGGTAAACATGCAATGATTCCTAAAGTTTATCTAAATGCATAAAATTTCAAAGTTTCAAACGGTATTTTTCATATCTCACTTTTGCAAAAAAAAGAGAACAGCTCCATCTCTAAAGTTTCACTAGGAAGTGCTATTAGAATTAACAGAGCACTGACCCAGCAGGAATGCTTAACCTAAGAGCCCCTTAAGAAATCACCATTTTATCCTCAATATGCAGAGTCTGATTAACTGTATTTAAACAGTGACATATTCACAATCCATATGGAAACAGAAGTAATTGGAACCAAAACAGCTTAAGTGACCTACAAAGCAATCTAACAGGTAAGAAACTTTTTATTCAGTTCCTAACTGAATAAAAACAGAAAGGATTTAAGGATTTTGCAAAGCAGACGGTTATAGATGAGGAGATAATGTGCAGAGTTTAAAAATTCTGTTAACTAGGCTGAACACATGTAGAAACTAATTGTCATGTTCCATTAACCTAATTTTTTCTACATAAGCAACACACCCTTGCCCATTCTTTACCCCTGGACTTACTTCCCTAAGATTTCTTTCTGCTCTGATTAGACATGTTCTACTGTGGTCCCTCTGCTAAGACGATTCACTTTCATGGTTCACAGAATAAATGGAATGTTCACTCGAATGTTTATTTTTTAGTAATATCCAAAGCACCAACCTGAGATCGGCCCTTGAAAACAGAGAGGAAAACTCGTTATTTGTCCGGCCGTCAGCTGTGTGGGATTCCTGTTTAACTTCTGTCCAACACCCAATAGCAATAGTAAAGGTGGATGCTGGCATGGGCATGGTCACATAATAGTACCAACTTAAGAGACCTATGAGTAAAAAAAAGCAAATTACCAAATTACCTAGAGAACAATTTCCCAGAATCAGCACTTTGAATTTCAATGCACTTGAGATTTTGAACCAAACTTCTCCTCCCACCTCCGCACTGTTGTTTTTTTTGTTCAAGAAGGAAACATAACTTGTTTTTATGCAGTCACATTGTTTACTATATGATAGTTATATCTTACTTACCTTGGAGATTGAAAGGGACATTAGCAAATAGTTTAGACCTAAAAACTTACATTCACACTGCTATCCTCAGATTCTAGGCATTTACAAAAAATTAAATCCAGCATTGTAACATTATGACTGTAAACATCATGAAAACATTCTACACCAATGGTCCAAAACACTGAATCTTACCATCATGGGTGGAGTCAAACAGGATCCTTAAGTCCTCTAAGAAAGGACATTTTTTAACTTAAAAAAAAATCGATTGCAGTCCTTTCACAATAGCCTTGAATAATGCTGTTTTTGTCTTAACAGTATGGTTTGTTTATTTCAAATTGCAAACTCCTTAGGGGAAGGACGATGTTTCAGTATGTTCTGCACAGCACTGAGCAGACTGTTAAAGTCTAATAAAAAAACAGTAACACTTATGATCCCTGCCTGGCAATCTGAAATGGCACAATGCATCAGCATGTCAATGAGAAGTCAAGAATCAGATTCAGTTTTGGCATGAGTGCTGAATTTGGCCCTATGGGACCATCTGGGAGCTGAGGGGACGGAAAAGGTAAGTGAGTCTACCAGAGGAAGATCTGCTTAGTACAGGAGGACAATTAAGCAGAGTCCATTTAGAGAAGTGGGAGAAAGTTGTTTTTGGGAGCCATGAAGTTTTTATTGATCAAACCTACATATTCACTTTTTTTTTCTTTTGCCTAGCTATTTTTCTGTTGTTGTTAAAGGTACCTTAGGCACACATGCAAGGACTCACCTACATTTATAAATACAGTTACCACAGCTGCATACACAAATTGGGTGATTGCATATGCAGCAGTCTAATTAGATACCTGTATGTGTATCTGATTTGTGAGTAGAGCAGTCATGGTAATTTTGAATGCTAACATAGGCATGCAACTGCATGCCAGCCTCAAGCCTTTTTTTTTTTTAAAGTAGTCTTTGGGCTACAACTATGATAATATATGGAGATATATTCCACAGAGGAAAAAACACGATTTGACCCTAAATGCGTACACACTCAAAATGCCAGATTGGGGGTCCCCACCACAAAAAAAGACATGAGCCGCTCTTGTTGGCTCTGAATCACAGGTTAAACATATAACATTCACAGAACTTTGCTGACCTCACAGATAACATTGATATGTGAACAGAGACTGCCATGTTCACTACAACATAATTAGAAACAAAGAGGAAATAAATTATTATTGCCAAAGGAAAAATGTTTTGAAATCCCAGCCTGTGGAAGCTGAAAACCAGCCATGGCAGGCACAAGCCCATGTATGGGAAGAGGACATCCAGGGAAGTACCATTTATTTTATTATTTCAAAAGGCTGATGTTGAGAGCTCCAGTAATGTAAACTATACCGAAGGCCAAGCCTGCCCACAATGAATCCAATGGGAGCTTTTGTCATGGACTTCAACAGGAACAAAAGCAGACCCGTAGGCAGCGTAATACAATACTTCACTGTGAGTAGCATCTGTCACATAAACAATATTCCAAAATGTTCACATAAAGAGTGCAACTTCCAGGTCAAACAACAGCAAAGGAAGAAAGAAATTATGAAGGACAGGAATGGGAGAAAGTGATGTGTTTTCAGCTGAGTTTTGAAACAAGACTGAGAGTCAATGAGGCGGGGAGACAGAAAACTGTTCCAGATGGCAGGGGGTGAAGGCTCCTTCTCCTATAAAGGAGAAGGCTCTCACAACAGTGAGGAGATTTCCTAACAGGAAAGAGAAAAGGCCAGTGATCGACAAAACAGAGGGAGGGAGAGGAGCATAGTGAGAGACAAATTCAGTGAGGTAGACTGGAGTAAGTGAAGTGTTTTTAAAAGAAGAAGGCAATTTAAACAGAATACTGAAATGAAAGGGGAGACAGCTTAGCAATCTAATGTGGTGGTGATATGTTTATGTTGCTTCTTACGTGAGAGGAGATGGGTAGCAGTATTCTGCATATGCTGGAGTCTCAAGAGCTTTAACTTCTGTAGTTTTATTCTACCACCCTCCATATGAAGAGGGGATTGCAGAGTGGGTCACACAATCTGAGGGCCAACAAACTTCACAAAGCTAGAAGATTATCAGCAAGTCCTGAAAGAGGGCAGGGGCCTTCAAAACAAGCACCAAAATGGGACTGAAAGGCAGAAATAAACTTGTTTCTCTCTTCACATGAGCTTTCAAACACTTATAGATTCATATTTACAAAATTCAACACCTTATTCTCCCTTATCCCACATGCCCTTTCTTTGTGCAGGTTTTGTAGAGACCATGCATGAACTGGACATCCCCATCACTCCACCCTGAGGCTCCTATTGTGCTTATAGATGCTGCTGAACCCCAGTCCACTCTCACAAGGCTGTTAGGGGTCTCATGTACTTGCAGCCCAGAATATACTGAATTGACAAGAAGTCTCAGAGCATACTGTGAGGTGAATGAGGTTTCACCATTGTGGTTCCTGACGTTTCCTGATGACTGAACTGGCCTTTATGCAGGTAATGCTTCCTGCCAGTAACCAACATGAGCAGCTGTTACTGGTAGGAGAGATCATTTGTTTCTCATGTTTTCTCTATATCCCCCGCCCACACACACTTTCCCATTTTCTTCCTCTTTTTGAATGTCTGTCACCTGTTCTAATTTTTTTTCTTTTTGTCCCTCCTAGTTCCTCTGTCTCCCCTCTTTTCCCTTTGCTTGGTTTCTTCTTCTCCCTTATCTTTCCTCGCCTCCCTTATCCTCAGTGTTTCCCCTTCTCCTGGTTCCTTTTCTTACTCTCCTCTCTCTCACTCCAGTGCCTTCATGTGACTCTCTTGGAAACAGCACCACCTATAGGGAAAGGGAAAGCAATGCATATGAACTCTGCATAGGGCTTCCTCCTTATAGTGCAAGTAACACTCCACATCACTGAAACATTTCTGTGCTATGTGAGGGCTCATTGGCAGGACAAGGAAAATAGCTGGTGTTTCCTGCAGAAAATGGAGGAACAGCACCTATTAAATAAAACTGGATATTTTCTAATTCACATGTTATCTATTTAGGACTCAGTTAAAAACGGCTGGAAAAGTGCAATCCATAAGTGTGGGAAAATAAAATTTTAAAAAGCAATTTATTTTTTGTATTTCAATTAACAACGATGAGATAATGACTTTAAGTTTCTTCATGCATATTAATTGTCTTTGAAATGGTTATAAAAACAATTCTGAGTACCAATGCGTACATTATAACTAAAATAAACACAAGTGTCAGTATATCTTCTCGTCTGACCTAATAAAAAGGTATATTTTCTTATATTTATATAGCACCTTTCACCTCAAATAATTCTTCAGTGTTTTAAATACAAACTGAGATACATATTATACACACACACACACACACACACACACACACACGGGATTACTTCATCCACCACTGAAATTCAGCCACCTCTAATGGGAAACATTATTATGCTTAGTAATGCATAAAACCATTACACAACACTTTCAGAAAGAAAGTGAAAAATACACCTCTACCCCGATATAATGCTGTCCTCAGGAGCCAAAAAATCTTACCGTGTTATAGGTGAAACCGCGTTATATCGAACTTGTTTGATCCGCCGGGATGCGCAGCCCTGCCCCCCCCCCCCCGGAGCACTGCTTTACCGCGTTATATCCGAATTCATGTTATATCGGGCCACATTATATCGGGGTAGAGGTGTAGCATAGATGCAAAGCTACAGCAAAACAAAATGTAATTACCCAAACTATTATTTGTCTGGGAAATTAGGATTAAGAGCCTTGCCCAACCGAAAAGTTCCAAGATATTTTTAGTGACTTCTAGTGGTCAGCACCTTGATTTCACATCTCATTTGGAAGACAGAGTAGCAGAGTGCCCCCAAGCACCAGAGTTCAATACTCAGATACTCTGATGAATCAGCAACAGCACTGGCTGCAGCACTTGTATCAGATGCATGTTGGAGATCTCCAACTCAAATACTGAACTGACCTAACCCTGCTTAGCTTGTGAAATCTGACTTGAATGCAAAACAAGCTGCTGTGGTTACAAGCTATGAAGGGGAAAGTAGGTGTTTCTCCATGGTCATATTTCTTTTCAGTAGTAACACTAATGTTGAATTAAATTCTTTCTATATGGATTTAAGTGAATGAAAGGGAAGTGTGGAAATCTTACTACTTTAAAGGAAAAAAATACTGAGCAATGTATAGAACCCTGGATCATAGCAGCTCTACTGTGCCCAAGATACAAATTCTCAAAAAGAAATCAAAATGGATCTAAATGTGTTTTTTGATTAAAGAAGTTTGTGTACTGCATGCATGTGGGATGGAAGAAACCAGTGTTGGCAGCTAAGTGTTGAATAACAAATCCACCCACCATCCAAGGCTAAATGACTTGGAGACTTACTGTCTCTAACACCTCTGAAAAAAACCTAGAGATCGGGAGGCTTACAGAACGGTTTGAATGTATCTGGAATTTATTTATCAACTTTGTGAAAAACTTTTCCCATTCCAAACATTTCATAAAGTATATATTACCATTTTCAAAAACACTTTCACACCTTATTAAAATACCTCAATATGTATGTATGCCTGAATGTGCAACATATTGGGAGATTTATGATTATTGTTGTTTGATAAACTCAACTGTCCCATCTGTATTTCTAAATGATAATAGTATGGGCCATACTTTTCAAAAAGGAGGCCTGCAAAAAATGTGTGTTCAACTGTGTGCACACTTTTGCATATGCAGTTTCCAAAACTCTACTCAGGAAACTATCCATTTGCATACACAATCAGCTAGCCTCTGTATGTAACCATGAAAATTGTACATATACAAATGAAGGTATGCACCTGAGAGCACAGGTCTTCCTTTAAAAAAATGTTGCTATATTATGTCCGTTGCTTTTCTTGTTGTCCGTTACTCACTTAAACTTAACCATTTTTTAAAAAAGAAAGTATATCCAGCTAAATTGAATGGCTATTAAAGATTTTAGATTATCTATATGCAAATCAAAATGCTTCTTCAGTCCTATAAGTGGTATTTACTAGGGGTGTAGGGGTTTTTTTTTTGGTTAATCGCATGCGTTAACTGCGATTAATCACAGTTTTAATTGCACTGTTAAACAGCAGGCAGGCAGGCAGGCATAGTGAGGGGGGATGAGATAGCTCAATGGTTTGAGCATTAGCCTGCTAAACCCAGGGTTGTGAGTTCAATCAGTCACTTAGGGATCTGGGGCAAAATCATTACTTGGCCTTGCTAGTGAAGGCAGGGGGCTGGACTTGATGACCTTTCAGGGTCCCTTCCAGTTCTATGAAATAGGTATATCTCCATATATTTAAAAAAAAACCAACAGAATGCTAGTTGAAATTTATTAAATATTTTTGGATGTTTTTCTACATTTTCAAATATATTGATTTCAATTAAACACAGAATACAAAGTGTACACTGCTCACTTTATATTATTATTTCTGTTACAAATATTTGCACTGTAAAAATGATAAACAAAAGAAATAGTATTTTTCAATTCACCTCATACACTTGTACTCTAGTGCAATCTCTTTATAGTGAAAGGGTAACTTAAGAATGTAGATTTTTTTTTGTTACATAACTGCACTCAAAAACAAAACTTTGGAGCCTGCAAGTCCACTCAGTCCTACTTCTTGTTCAGCCAATCGCTAAGACAAACAAGTTTGTTTACATTTACAACAGATACTGCTGCCTGCTTCTTACTTACGTCACCTGAAAGTGAGAAAGGCATTCGCATGGGACTTCTGTAGCCGGCATTGAAAGGTATTTACGTGACAGATATGCTAACCATTTGTATGCCCCTTCATGCTTCAGCCACAATTCCAGATGACATGCTTCCATGCTGATGATGCTCGTTAAAAAAATAATTAAATTTGTGACTGAACTCCTTGGGGGAGAATTGTATGTCTCCAGTTCTGCTTTACTTGCATTCTGCCATATATTTCATGTTATAGCAGGCTCAGATGATGATCCAGTGCATGTTCGTTTTAAGAACACTTTCACAGTAGATTTGACATAACGCAAAAAAGGTACCAATGTGAGATTTCTAAAAATAGCTACAGCACTTGACCCAAGGTTTAAGAATCTGAAGTGCCTTCCAAAATCTGAGAGGGACGACGTGTGGAACATGCTTTCAGAAGTCTTAAAAGAGCAACACTACAGAAACAGAAACTACAGAATCCGAACCACCAAAAAAGAAAATCAACCTTCTGCTGGTGGCATCTGACTCAGATGATGAAAATGAACATACGTCACTCTGCTCTGCTTTGGATCGTTATCGAGCAGAACCCATCATCAGCATGGACACATATCCTCTAGAATGGTGGTTGAAGCATGCAGGGACATATGAATCTTTAGTGCATCTGGCACGTAAATATCTTGCGATGCCGGCTACAACATGCCATGCAATCTCCTGTTCTCACTTTCAAGTAACATTGTAAACAAGAAGCGGGCAGCATTATCTCCTGCAAATTGTAACCAAACTTGTTTGTCTGAGCGATTGGCTGAAGTAGAACTGAGTGGACTTGTAGGCTCTACAGTTTTACATTTTTATTTTTGAATGCAGTTATTTTTTGTACATAATTCTACATTTGTAAGTTCAACTTTCATGATAAAGAGATTGCACTACGGTACTTGTATTAGGTGAATTGAAAAATACTATTTCTTTTGTTTTTTACAGTGCAAATATTTGTAAACAAAAATAAATATAAGTAAGCACTGTACACTTTGTACTCTGCGTTGTAATTGAAATCAATATATTTAGAAATGTAGAAAACATCCGAAAATATTGAAATAAATGGTATTCTATTATTGTTTAACAGCGCAATTAATCGCGATTAATTTGAAAATACTGACCGTTGGCGTCTGAAAAGAGAGCTCAGAACTAACCCTGGGAAATGAGCTCGGTGCAGTCACGCATGGCACCACCTTACATTTGCTTTTCCCTTCACGCTGTGCATGGAGGCTGTGATGAAGAAGTGCAGCAAAAAACAAAGGGAAGACAGCACTCAGACCATACCTTGCACAACTCTAAGCAGGCAGGCAGTAGTGAGCACTGGGAGCCACTGCCCTGGTCCCAAAAGAAGTTGAAATAAAGCTCTTTCATGGACAGTTGGCACCAAACTGAGATCACCAACTCATTTCACATTGTTCACCCAGCAGCTACGATATGGGTAACAATCCTCAGTCACTTCCAGCCTCCCTAAACTGAACTGGCAACCTCAAACCAAAAGTCTATATCCTGTTATCAATGCCTTCAGCAGTCTGTGGGCTGATCTGTCAAATATTTAGCTGTAGATTGATTGAAACTAAGCCAGTTAGTGAGCTGTGTGAAGTTTATACCTGAAAAAAACAGATGCCAATATATTCCAGTGGATGAGGTACCAGATGAGAAGTTAGAACACATAAGTACTCACACCAGCTGCATGGCCTTGGGCAGGTCACTTGGCCTTCCTGTACCTTAATTTCCCTCTCTGTAAAACGGAGATAATAATGTGCACCTATCTTTGTAAACTACTTTCTGGCACTTTGCTAGCATCATTTTGTACAACACATGATTAAGAATATATATACTGCACCTTCTTGAAGTTGTGCTGGTTCTGCAGAATTTTCACCACTCATTAAGACAACAAAGCAAGAAGCTGTTCGGACTGTGGTTTGCCATGTTGACATGGCAACCGGTGGCTCCTGACATGGAAAAAGGGCCCTGTTGTTTATTGGAGATCCCATCGTATAAACACATGGCCTATAGGGAGCGGAAAAAGATAAAAACAAGAGTGACATTGTTACTCTAAAACATGAAATAGTGAAGGCTGAGTAGAACTTGCCATTATAAAAAGAAATTCAAACTTACTTACTGGTTTTCAACATCTCATTAGGGTTTCAACCAGGGCTTTGGAGCTGTGCTCCGGCTCCGCTCCAGCTCCAGGCAAAAACCTGCAGCTCTACTGCTCCGGAGCTGCTCCACGCTTCAGCTCCAGGCTCCGCTCCAAAGCCCTGGTTTTCAACCTAACATTATATGAACCAACCAAGATACCAAACCTTGAAGTTTTGCTGTTATCCATCCTAACAGATTAATTTATAAGAGGCAGCAGAGAAAAAAATGGCATAGACATTCCCATCCTTTCTGCTCCCTTGCTCATGCCATGACCTTTGGACCTCAGGCAATAATTCTCCAGCCACTGGGAACTGTGAACCCAAGTGACCAATATGAGTATTTTAGAATGAATACACTGTTGCCAACTCTCGCTATTTTATCATGAGTCTCACAATCCCTGGTGTTTTTCTTTAAGCACCAACTACTAGAATCAAGTAACTATGTGACAATCTCGGTTTTCAACTACAAAAAAAAAAAAAAGTACATTTACAAACCTCATAATTGCAGAGAAAAGCTTGAAAATATGATCGAAGTGTGCCCTAAACTAAAGTGTTCTAGAAATAAAAGAACCCATGTTTTTAAATCTCATGATTTTTAAGCAAATCTCATAGATTTGGAGGCCTAACATGTAATTTTTGAATGCATGAGACTGGCAATATCGGAGTCAGCTATTTATGTCATAATTCGAAAAGTGACCAAATCCCGTAGAAAGGTGGCTGTTAGTTTGCAAGGATGCAGCATCTTTTGCAGTGGCCACTGTAGTACCTCAATACACTGAATTTCATTAATTGAATTCCTTCCCAAAAGCCAAGCCCTTACTGCACAGAGGGAGTGAACAGAAACTGTCAGCTGAGTGGTAGTATAGATGAAAGATTTTCTGAGGCTACCACTCGTCTTTTTGTCAAATGTGTGGTGTTTCTTTTTGAAGGACATAAGGCCTACTAGATCCTGAGTTACTAAGGGATCTAACCTTAGGAACAAACCCCAAAGTGAATTATTCAGGAAGCTTTTACAGCCTACTGGCCTTTTACTCCCATTTTCTTCTAACGTTTGGGGCAGCAGCAGACCCACTCTTTGTCCTACATTTCTAGGGGGCACATGCCCTAATCCCTAATCCCCTAATCCACAATCACGCTCCAGAAACATCAGGAACACATGAGGGTAAAAGGCAAGTAGGCTTTACAAACTCCCTCAAATTCACATCACTCTGGGGTGAATCGCTGAAGGTTACATCCCTTGGCAACCAGGCATCCACTAGAAAACAATGGGTCTCTGCCACAGAAAAAGGAACAGTGCACAACAATGGGAGCAAGAACGTTTTAGATGAGAAAGAGAGGTGCAGGGGAAAAGTAGGCAGGTCACTTACTCCCTAGAAGATACCCTTTGCACCCCAAAAATCTAGGAAGGAAATAGAAGACTAGCTAGTAGCCCTATAGCATCTGTGGGCAAAGGGGAAAGAGAAGGAGTAGAGGATGGTTCCTGGTACATGGAAACCACACAAAAACCACAGGATTGTAGGAGGAGAGCCCAGGTACTCCAGGAAATAATTCCTATGAGAAAGGTGATGCTGATATTCAGATTTTTAGCCAGAGCCTTGGCCCTGCTAAGACCGTTTTGCTCTGCTCCAATGGTCTAAACCAGCCTCAAACCTGGCCTTGGAGGATTTCCCAGCATGAGGAACTCCTTGAGTGGTATAGCACCACTGTAGTGGCTTTCCTGCAGACCCACACTCTCAAGCTCTGGCAAAAAGAAGGTCAGGGGGTGCCTACCTGCTGGCAAATCCCAGCTGCCAAAACAGCCACTTAGGCCCACAGGTAGTCAGCATAACATGTGTGTTCCTATATGGTGGTGAACCCCAGCTGCTGAAAAACCTCTTGGGCCCACAGGTAATTGGCATAACATACAGCAGTTGAAAGCTACTATCCTTTACGCTGGGGTACCAGACTGGCACCCAGCAGCTTAAAGCCTGGGATCTTACCCCCACTTTTGTGCCACACATACACATAGGCTGTACTGAGAACACAAAGCCTAGAACCCAGAATCTGGCCCTATACTCATATTCCAAATGTCACACGGATATTAGGACATCTGAATTCCAGTATCATCTGAATATCAGCCTATTCTCTACTCGTTAATATACGGAGCTCCGTAATTTGGTACATTTACATTATTATTATTATTAATTAACATATTAGGTTGGTGCTCAGAGATCCCAACCAAAATTGGGGCCCCATTGTGCCCCTAGGCATGGTAAAAACACATAGTAAGAGTCAGTCTCTGCACCAAAGAGCTTATAATCTAAATACACAAAACAAACAAAGGATGGGAGAAAAAAATAGAGGGACAGAGAAGTAAAGTGGCTTGTACAAGGTCAAACAGCAGGTCAGTGGTAGAATTGGGAATAGAACCTAATCTCCAGGCTCCCAGTCCTGTGCTACTAATATGGAAAATAAATACAAAATAGCATATTGTGCATGTGCAGTTTCTAATTTTCAAATACCTTTACCTTCATTTTTAAAGTATTTTATATATTAAATTGGCACATAAATATAGTGATAATTACATACAATTATATCCCACATACAAAGGAAAGTCGAAAAGTTAGAGAATTGTTATAATATTTGGTAAATCCAGGGTTTCCATTTTTTTCATAGCTGTTTTTATGCTATTTTTGTTCAGATATACTCAGAGCTGTCCCTTGGGTAGGGCGAATCGGGGGCAACCGCCTCGGGCCCTGCACTTTGGGGGCCCTGCACTTCGATAAAATTGGGACTGTCCCAATATTTAGCCCTTTGTCCCACGTCCCAGCTGATGTATGATCGGGACGTGATTTGTCCCAATATTCAGGTGAGGAGGTGAGTGGCAAGGTGAGGTGGGAAGCGAGCGGGGTGAGGAGGCGAATGGGGAGGTGAGCGGCAGGCAGGGGGGTGGGTGGGGAGGCGAGCGGCAGGTGGGAGGGGAGTGAGGAGGCACGCGGGCGGGTGGATGGCGAGGAGGAGAGCAGTGGTCGGGCGGACAGGGGGTGCACACCGGACGGACAGCAAGGAGACTAGCGGGGAGGCTGATTTGTCCCAGGCCCCACACCACCCATGGACGGCCCAGGATATACTGATTAACTTATCATTCCTAAACCAAAGTTCTTCAAATATGTCAAAGTCTGCCATGAAAATAGCAACAGATCATACAGAGAGCCCTATTAAAGTTTGAGCAGGAACGTCAGAACAACAATTACATCAGCTTCTAGTTAGATATTCATATATTCATGACATGATCACCTGGAGATTAGCTGATTGACAGGTTGGCACTAGCTGAGGTGTCAACTAACACTGAACTGTCTCATTCTGTCAGAGAGGGAAGAGTTTAGAAGATTTGCAAAAAGGAAAACTCTGCCATGATTTACTCAAAAATATTTTTTCTTCTTTCAATGAAATTTTTAACTTGTTTGTTCCACATTTTTTGAAAAACAAAATCAAACATTATTGGGTTCCTTCTATTCCTCTGAATCACGTTTTACTTTCTTTGCTATTTATTTTTCCATACTTAATATACACTAGAGACGTGTTAAAATGTCAGCAGTGCGATGGTGCTACACAATTACAGCGTATCTTGAAGTTGGCAGTATTCCCCACTTTAGGTCAGGGCTGCTCAATACCAGCAGATGAGCGGACCAGAAATACAGAATTTCGACCTGAAATGATGGTTTTGCACTTCCCTTACAGCATCAGGGAACTGCTATCTACACAGAATATGTCACATGGTGTCTATGTTAAATAACCATCAGTTCCAGACGGCTATTATCAGACACCGATTTTTTTTAATTACCATTACCACAGCTAGTGAGAGACATGGCAATTCTCCTCCTTTCTGTCCTCCTCCCCAGCTCACAATCCTCTCTGTATCTCTTTCCTTCCTCTCTTAGCATAGTGTCTTCTCCCTCTTAGAGTTCTCGTAGCCATAACATTTTCAAGTCAGCCCCACACTTGGCCACTCTTTTTCTTCATAATTCCTTACCTGGGTGGCCTCAGACATTTATATAGAGGGGGAGTTAGAGAACAGAAGAGAGATAAGCAGTTAGGCGGTCCAGTTCTCTGTGGCTCCTACCGTGGTGTTTCCACAGAGACTGAGTCTCTATGGAAAGAGAGGTGCCTAAAGATCCCAGCAAAATGTAAAGGGCCTAAGGTTTGGAAAGGAGATAATAAAATAAATATGTATTGGGTGACCCACAATGGCCAACTTTATGATTGCTAGAGCTTCAAGTTGCTATGTGTTTGGAGAGCTTGGAATATAGGACGTTAGCTGCAACCCACTCGATTCTGCTTCCAGAAGTGAGTGAGCGGTGGCGCTTGTGGTGGGAATCAGTCTGAGAGTTGCTTAGACTCTGGGGTTCTATCTAGTCACTAATCTTGCTTGTGTGCAAGGCTACCCTGATAATTGCATTCCCTTTTTTGCGGTAATGAGTGGGAAATTATCCTAGCTAGAGATGTCTAAAAAGTGAAAACCTATTTTCATGAAAAAATTTCTGACGTTGTTTTAGTTTCAAAGTGTTTAAAAAATGAAAAATGGGTCAATTTCAAAATATTTTTCAATATTTCTATGTCCCCAATATTTGCATAGAAAACATTATCAAAAATATTACCAAAATACTAAAACCTAATATTACCTAAAACCCTCAGCACAGTATCAGATCAAGTAAAATTATATTAGAGAACTTTCTAATCTAATTTGTTCCTTCTTCCTCTCCCCAACTCCATCTTATCTCTTCCTCTTCCCCTTCCCCTCCCCTTCTTTCTTTGGGAACAAACAGCTGAGTGGCTGAACGAGTCTCCCTTTTCAGAAAATCCACAATGGGCAGATCCAGACAATGAACA